CCCCCCCACCCCAACCCCCAACCCCACAGGGAGGAAGGGGGGAGGGAGGAAGGGGGGAGGGGGGAGGGAGGGAGGAAGGGGGGAGGGAGGGAGGGAAGGAAGGGGGAGGGAAGGAAGGAAGGAAGGGAGGAGGGAAGGAAGGAAGGAAGGGGGGAGGGAGGGAGGGAGGAAGGAAGGTCAAAGTGTCCCCAGTAGCCAAAGCAGAAACAATGTGAGCAAAAAAATAAAGTCGAATTGGGTTATAACCCAAAGTATAAAATAAATATCCATGAATCCATAATGATATAAATGACTGTTAAAACTTATAACTGAGTAAGAAGAGACAAATGCACGTCGCAGTGATTTGAGTTAATGATACTTACGGTATATGTGAAAGTTGCTAAGAGTAAATCTTGGAAGTTCTGTAAGTTCTGTAACTATGTACAGTGACAGATATTAAGGAGACTCATGGTGGCCGTTCAGCAATGTAGCCACATCAATCATTGCGTCAGACACCAAAGCTCATATAATGCTGTATGTCAGTCATACCTCGGTACCAAATAAATCAGTGTGTAAGAAGAGGCAAATCCCCAGTGAGTGCAGAATTCAAATCCCGTTTGCAGATACCCCACTCTGAAGCAGGGAGCAGAACTCCTTGCTCCTGAAGTGCGCGCTGTGCGTGGAGATTCCTTCCAGGCAGGACAGTCAGAAAAGGGGGAAAAGGAGAAACTTCGCAGTGGAGAAACTGACAAAAGGCTACTGGCTGGTGCGCAGAGTCGCCGTCACTGGTCAGGAATCGTGTTAGTAGCAGGGCGCCTGGGTGGCTCAGTGGGTCAAGTGTCCGACTTCGGCTCAGGTCACGATCTCACGGTTTGTGAGTCCGAGCCCTGCGTGGGGCTCTGTGCTGACCCTCAGATTCTGTGTCTCCCTGTCCCTGCCCCACCCCCCTCACACTCTGTCTCTGTCTCCCTCTCTATCTCTCAAAGATAAATAAACATTTACAAAAGTTTCTTTAAATCATGTCGGTAGCATGCACTCTTGATGAAAATGGCACTTTTTTTCATAATCCCAATCTATTCATAGGGAAAAGCATCAGACAAATTCCCCTGGAGAAGCAGACTGCAACACACCTGACCGGTACTCCTCAAAATCCCAGACAAGGAAAGTCAAAAATCGTCACGGCCAAGACTACTGAACCTAGAGACATGATAACTGCACGCAGTGAGGTTCCCTGGAAGAGGTCCTGGAACAGAAAAAGGAGATCCGGGCAAAGAAGAAAACCCGAAGAGAGTGTATAAACTTTAGTTGACAACAATGTATCAAAAATTAAAAAATAAAGACATAAAAAAAACCATTGTGTCAATATTGGCTCACGAAATGTAACAAATTGTTACGAACTGTACGAATTGTTACGAATTGTCACCAATTGCAGTAGTGTAAGAGTTAAGCAGGGAAATCTGCCTGGAGGTGTATGGAATTCTGTACTAGGAGTTCAATTTTTCTCTAAGTCTTAACTGTTCTAAAACTCATGTCTAGTAGGGCTGTTGTTGGTTTTTGGTTTTTTTTTAAGTATAAGCAAGAAGCGGGAGAAAGACAAACTTTATCGGGAGGTTATGGACTTTCTGAGAGGGCAGTGGGCTGCTCCCCGGCTTGGGATGGGCATTTCCACCGATCTCATCCAGACCCCATAACTTTGGGTGAATGCCACAAACCCCCCACCCCCAGGCGCTGCTCTAATGCCCCTGCTACGAAGAGAAGCCCAGTTCCCTGTCTTTCCCCAAAGGTGCGGTGGGCTCGGCCTGGGGTTTCCCGCCTGTATCCCCCGGAAGAAGTGATGGCATCTTTCTGCGACTGTCTCCAAGTCAGGGCTGGGCCGTCATCGCCTCACGGCAGACCCCGCGGCCGCATCCCTTTGGCTCCTACCCTGCAGACGCAGCGGCTGCCGGTTGGTTGCGAGGTCTCCCTGCCGCGCTTCCGAAGGTCACAGCTGGCGCTCCCCGCTTCCCGTGGTACCTGCGGGGGCCCCTGCGAGTCTGCTGTGTCCTTGCCGGTTCATCAAAGATCCGCTTCTCAGCTGTTTTTTTGTTTGTTTGTTTTGGCAAACGTGCAGACCTGGAAAGCATAACATACTTATTCTTGTCACTGTTGGTAGAAAGATAGAGGCATAAGTTATGCTCAGTAAGCGCAGAAATCCCAAGTTCATTCATTCAGCTCAACCAATGTGTACAAATGAATGAACGAACTGTCACTGATGCCAGCCTCAAGATACGTAGTACCACCAGCCTTGTGCGTGTGCGTGTCCATGTGTGAGCGTGCGTGCATGTGCACATCTGCGCGCGTGAGCATGTGTGCGCACGCGCGAGCATGTGTGCGCACGCGCCTGTGTGTGCGTGCGTTGGTGTGTGTGCCCGTGCGTGCGTGCATGTGCGTGCCTGCCGGCTGGAGGTGGAACGCACATTTCCCATCCCTGCCGTTCGGAGCTGCGCGCCCGTCTCTGCGGTGTTTCCCGCTGCGCCCCCCTCTCCAGCCCCTCTGCGCTCGGCCCCCCGCAGTCCCTTCTAAGTGCTTCCTGCCGCCACTGACTCACTTTTTCCTGCTTTTTTCTCAGAGACACGTGGCCAACTTCTTGAACGTTCGTTCCTCCAATAGGAGCCCAGTCACGATTGCCACGTGGCTCATCTTAAGAAACAGCTGTGTCTTGGAGGGAGCGCGGAGGCTTCACCGGGTTCCAGGTGAACTTACCGATGGGCTGGGAGGGGCGCGCTGAGCCGGCTCCCGGGGACCCTCCTGCATTTGGCCAAAGGCTGTGAGCGCAGCCGGAGCCACCTGACCCCGGGTCTCGGGTCTCGTCTTCCCGGGAGCCGTTCCCACGCTTGTCGCAACACAGGCCGCTGAGCTCCACCCCAGGCTTTCTGATTCGGTGAGTCTGGGGTGGGGCCCGGGATTCTGCATCTTTAACAGGTCCCAGGTGCTACTGATGCTGCCTCTGGGGGGCCACCCTCAGAGCCTCTGGGTCCGGGGAGGCCTGGCTCCTACCTGCTTGGGATTGCGCGCCAAGAGCTGCAACGCAGGGAAAACCAGGCTGTGCTCAGCCCACGCCCCACTCCCTGAACCCCCACCCCACCCCGTCCCCACCCTCAAGACCCTCCACCAGGCCTCCTGTCTGAGATCTTTACTGAGAGAGGAAGGAACCCTTCCCAGGACTCAGGGCTCCCAGATCCTTCCACCAGTTTGGGTGCCCTTTGGTCCATAGCTCTGGCAGGCCTCCTGGACAGTGAGACGCTCAGGGTATCATGGTTAAGCCACAGGCTTCGGGGCCAGAAAGGCGTGGGCAGGCCACTAAGTAGCTCTCAAAAAGAGGTTGAAATTAGGATGTTTCTCGCGGGGCTGAGGGGCTCGTGCGGGTTTACACGGCTCAGTGGAGACAAGGTGTGGAGCGTGGTGTCTGGTCCACGGCGGCCCCCGCACTTTAAGTGGCCTTCCCTCGGATGGCGATGCTGTGGGTGGGGAGGGTGGGAGTCCTGGGTCGAGCTCAGCTGGGAGCAGACCCTTCCGGGAGCCCCTGACTAATGGGTGGGGCCTGGGGGCCTTGTGGGCACCACGCTAAGTTCACCCCATAACTAAGCCTCACAGTGAACGAGGGAGGGTCCCTCCGCCCCCCGCCCCCCCCCCCCCCCCGTTCCTCACACCCTCCTGACCCTGAATTTCAACGGTCCCGCTACCTGTGCCTCTTTAGTCATCCAGGATTTCTCCTCCTCAGCAGCACTGACGTTTGGGGCCAGCGGATTCTCGGTGTGGGGGCCTATGCCAGCACCATGGGGTGTTTGGCAACACTGTTGCCCGTCCCGGCTGGATGCCAGCAGCACCCTTCCCCTCGAGCGGGGACGGCCTCCCGGAAGCAGAACAGCCTGACGGAACCACCAGCGTGGACGGTGGGCTCCGTGTGGTGGCTCCCAGGCCGGGCACACAGTAGGTGCTCATGAAAGGGAAACGGAGCGCATCCTGGCGGCCTGATGGGGCCCTGTGCTCAGCATCTCACGCGGGTCGTGCCGTTTGACCTTCCCCACGTGTATGAGGAAGACTCGCATGAGGGACGGGGAAAGCCAGGCACAGCGGGGAGGCCACTTGCCCAGGGTCCCCTGGCTGCTTAGCAACAGAGTCTGGACTTGAACTGCACGCTCTGTCCTGTCTGATGGGCCGTGCGGAGGCCAGGTGACATCTCCTGTCCCCCGGGCTTCCTCAGTACCTGGGAGACAGCGCCCGCATCCGGCTGGCCCCGTGGCCTCGCCAGGTCTCCCCCTGTTTTCCGTCCTGCCTCTCCTCTGCTGAGCGCCTGTCCTCAGGCCGTCGTCCTCCAAGGAAACCCTGCTGTTGAAGGCATGACTTCGGTGCTAAGTCATGCTTCCCATGAAGGTCAGACGGCCCTTGCTTTGCACCCGGAGCCCCGAGCGGCCAGCCCTCCCGAGGCAGGACGTGTAGACTGGCTTGAACAGCACGAAAGCCCCGGAGAAATGGGTGTTGATGACCACACGGCACTGGGACGCGGAAGGAAGTCCTTCCAGGTGGAAAAGCCAAAATGAAACAGGGCTCAGGTTCTGGAACAAAGGGCACATGAGTCACGGTAAGTGAAGCAGTGAATTTCCTGTCCCCCTTTCTGTCGACACACTTGTAATGGTAAGATGAGCCATGTTTGGGGCCCCCAGGCGCTCGGTCAGTTAAGCGTCTGGCTCTTGGTTTTGGCTCAGGTCGTGATCTCACAGGTTCATGAAATCAAGCCTCGGATTGGGCCCTATGCTGTCAGCATGGAGCCTGCTTGGGATTCTCTCTCTCTCTCCCTCTACTCTGCTCCTCTGCATGCTCTCTCTGTCTCTCTCTCAAAAATAAAGAAATAAACTTAAAAACAAAAGGTGAACCATGTTGGGAGGGCAATCAGAACGATTGGAATCTGACCCAAGCGTGTCTGACCAACGACCCGGTCACCTCACTGAGGACTGACATCTGCATCATCCAGGAGCCTGCAGCTTGGGGTGACATTAATACCGCGGGGTGCCAGGGAGAGGTTTCGCTTGACAGGAATGCAGTGCTCCAAATGTTCTGCTTCCTAGAAATTATCCTGGGCTCGTGGGTCACAACTCAAACTCCTTGACCCACTTACAAGCAGGTCAAAACAGCCCCAGTTATAAGCAAGCATCTCCCTCCTAAATGAGAGGAACGGGGCAATGGTTGTTTTCGTTAATTTGAGAGAGGGAGCAAGTGTGTGAGCATGGGGGAGCGGGGGCAGAGGAAGGGGGAGAGAGGGAGAGAGAGAATCTTAAGCAGGATCCACGCTCAACGCTGAGCCTGATGTGGGGCTCGATCCCCAGACCATGAGATCATGACCTGAGTCCCCCAGGTGCCCCGGGACAGTGATCTCTAAGTGACCGCCACCTCGGGTCCAGGGATGTCCCTGCCTGGTGGTGTTTTCTCTCCTGAAATGACATGATCTCCCCCTTCTGAGAGTTCAGTAAACTCAAAAGTTCCCCTGGGTGCCCTCCAGGGAGGAATTTCACTCTGTATCTGTGCTCTGTGTTCTAGAAATATCCTGCACTTGTGAGCAATCTGACATAGACTTTCCAACTAGACCCTTGGCAGTAAAATTTGCCAAAGAAGGGACAGGAGAGATGAGCGGCTCTCCTGACGGAGTGTCCCCAGGCCCACTGCTCCGGGTGGCGTGGCCTCTGTAGAAAGACAGCCCTTGCTCTCTGCACACCGTCAGGTGCCCCCGTGCCACTCTGTGTCACTCGGGGGGATGTGGGCCACCCGATGGGGTGGCCCTCCCTCTGTGGCCTTGAGCCCCGTGAGAAAAGGGAGGGTGAGGACAGCGGGTTTGCACACAGAGGGAGACAGAAAGTGACAGTGGGGCGGGCGCAGAAATGACGCAGAGCCGTGTCAGGTGGGCCCGGGGCCTGGGTTTTGGGGTCCCCAGAGCCGGCCGGGAACTCTGGTTCTTGTCTGTCCCCAAGTGTGACATCTTGGCAGGTCACCTGCAAACCGGATGTTGTCATGAGAACCAAACAGCATGCTGCTCTCCTTACGATTAAATACCAGATGTATACACGCCCACCGATGAGCCTAAGTATTATGTTCAAAACTGTGGTGAATTTTGGGGGGTCTCTCTCCCCGGCTGGAATTTATGCTGCACGAGAGCAAACCAGTCCTCCCTGCCAAGCCCTTGGTGCCTACTCTCCTGCAGACACAGAGGCGCTGGACAGACGTGTGTTAAGTGAAGGAAAGCCGGTCAGCGCCCCGCCTGGGGAGAGCCCCACCCCTCCTTGCTGTGTGCACGCCTCGCTCTGCCCTGTGTTTCCCCC